TGCCGTAACGCAGTTTCCGGGTCCTCAGGCACACCAGGTCGGAGGGTTCGTCAGCGTCCTGCGGGCAAATGCAAGAGGGCCATCATCCGGTTGATATCCGGGTCGTACACGAAAGTGTACTGCCATTTACCCCCAACATCACATTACACATGACACCCCGCCCATGCACACCTGTGTGCGTGTGTATGTGGGGGAGAGCGGGGGGTAAGGCCCTGGAGCAGCGTTCTCAAGGTGAACGGGCGTCGCACACCATTCAAATCACACGCCAGCTTTTCAAGTTTTGGTTTGAGATGGACAGACAGACGGACATCAAGGCATATCCGGTAACCGTGCCCCGCAAACGCAACTATGCAAACGACGGTATGAAGACACAATGATATGTGTGTGTGGATGGGGTGATAGCTGTAAGAATCAACCCAAGTTCCGGGGCGCTTTCCTTCGCTTCATGGTTGCATTCTTACCCCCCCCCCCCCCCATCCCAAGCCACCCTATTAACCTACTCTTAACCAACCCAACTCAACCTGCCCAGACCCTAACGAACTCAACCGAACGAACCAAACCAAGACAAGACAGCCCAGCCCACCTGGGCGTCGTGCACGATGTCGAACACGTCAGCACTCAGGTTGATATCAACTCTGGATAGGAGGACACCCAGGCTGAGACCACCTAAGGAACCACCACCAGCAGCACCGCCAGCAGCACCGCCAGCAGCACCGCCAGCAGCACCGCCAGCAGCAGCAGCAGCAAGCCGATCTGCGGCTGCGCTGGAGGAAGAGCTCGCCGCCGCTGTCGCTGCAGCACCAGTAGGCGGAGATGACGCGGACGGCGGCGGCTGCGGCGGCCACAGAGCCGGACCGAAATGCGTGCGGTGCTTCCATGACCCACGGGTCATAACAGGTGCACCGTTGGCAAGGCCGTGCACAAGCCCCAAAATGAACTTGACCTGCAGCCAGGAGTTGTACATACACATACGTCATCCAAAGGCATTAAAGGCCTCATATGCGGCCCGTAGGGCCGTTTGATTCAATGACGTCTTTGACAAGACCAAATTTGATGCCGTTAAAACAAATTTTGGGTTGCAGTAAAACAGGCGTCCTAAACGTTCCCAAGACCACAAAACTGCGGTTGCCGATGTCTCTGGTC